AACTGCGGAAGATCTGACAGTAGCTTGGAATCTCTTAAGCTGACCAAGCCCTCTCAGGCAGGCGACTAACCTTCACCGGGATAGACTGCGAGGCAATAAGCACAGAATTCCACTACTTGAATTGGGTTCCAGTACAAAGCAGTAAATCAATCAACTCTCGTATAACCAATCTACCACTACCGATTGATGAAGCTCTAACAACCTAATCAGATTCTATCTATCTCAGGTTGCAGCAGAAATCAAGAGAAGATGATCAGACTTCAATTGACTCAATGAATCATGCATCAATCGATTATAACCAATCAGTATACAAATCCCAAGTCATTACAATCAAGATTCCGAACCCATGGAACTAGGGTTCTTCATATCCAAGTGAGAGAAGGTTATACTCCATAGAGAGAGAGGAAAACAGAAATTAGAGTAGTCATACTAAAAAAGATAAGGATAATCTGCTCTGGGGTGTCGATCTTCACTCCCGGGGATGCTATCTGGGCTTCAATGTTGAGAAATCCACTCCAAATAGCTCCTAGGGTTTTATCTTTGCAGTTTCTCTCTCTAAAGCTCTGTTTTTTTCTCAAAAACTCGATTCCCTCTCCTTAGGCTCGAAATTGGGTTAAAACCCAGAATTTCCCAACCACACGGCCGTGTGGTTTCCCAGTCTGCCCGTGTGAGTACCAAAACGTGGCGTTCCATCTAATGAGCTTCATGCACGCTGCACGGCCAGAAATGCACGGCCGTGTGGAATCTCGGCCTGACCGTGTGAGCTCCCTGGAATTTCCACACGGCCTCAAAGGACCCCATACACGGCAGTGTGTCTTGCCCGCATAATGGGATTCCACACGGCCACACCACACGGCCGTGTGGCTGCTAGGTCTGGCCGTGTGGATTCCTCAGCTTCTCGCCAATCGTCCAACTTTCGTCCAATCGACCCCGAACTCGTTCCCAAACTTCCAATCACGTACTAGGACCTGAAATAACACAAACGAGAACAACCTAGCGTGTAATCTGCCTAAGATACGAGAAGTGAGGCTCAAATGGCATACGAATGGTGGATAAAAACATGTGTATATATCAAGTCATCACCAAGGGGTACATTATAGGCTACTCAAGTAGCCCTCTTGGTTAAGGCAGTCAATGGTTGACTTACTCTCTCACTCAACCCAAGAGTTGGTCGGCTTAATCGCGCTTAACCAAATTGCTTAATTCAACATAACGGTTTGCTACATTAACCTAGATTGGTGAATTAAAAAGCCCAAGGAATCCCAACTCAATTGAGCCTCCCTGTAAAGGGGGTTTTCCCTCTAATCTAGGTTAGAATGGCCAATTGGATTTTTAAGCACAAACATACATAATTAACATGAAAAATACCTCAATCATTGAATTAAACAACACCCATAAACAATCATCCAAACCACACAACAACTACATGGTAAATAGTTAGGGTTTCACAACACCCAAGTGAAAAAGGAAAGTACTCCATGCTAGAAAGGGGAAGAACACAAGAGGAAGAGGTAGAAACCATCGGGGTGATGCCTCCAATCTCCTTTGAGCTTTTGTTGATCTTCTCTTAGGGAAAATCTTCCCATTTCACCACTTGGAGCAAAACCTAGCCTTCTTTTTTCTTTGGTTCATTCTTTCTCTCACTAAAATCTGAAGAAGAAGACACTTTCTCACTGTTGGGATCTCCCCCTCTCTTCGTTTAAGCTCTACTTTGAAACATGGATTGGGCTCAGTTCACGGCCGTGAACTCTTGAATGTGTCCGTGTACTCAAGGTTGGCGTTGAAATGCACCACTTCGCTTGCTCAGGTTCATAGGCAATAGCTCCAGTTCACGGTCTTGGCGACCGTGAACTCACCTGGCGCTAGTAACTTCAGTAAGTGCTCTGGACGCCTTGATGTTCACGGCCGATGCTTCCTCTTCAAGGTCTTAGCAAGGGAAACCGTGAACTGCCGATTTTTCACCTCTTCTCCCGGTTTTCGCTCCTTTTCGTCCAACTTTCGACTCCAGGGCTGGTTTCACCTGTTAGATCCTAAAATGTGCTAAAACATAAGAAACCTAGCATAAAACCATCCTTTTAGGAGCACAATTGCCACAAACGCCTAAGGAAAACGGGGGTAAAATGCGTACAATTAGGCCCGAATCAATGTGCCCAAAACCAAGTAAATTGCAACTAGCACCTGATTGAGATGGAAGCCGAATTTCTCAATTTAGACAGCTTCGTGGAACCCCCACTTAAGGAAAAATTTCTCGAAATCCGGTGAAAAAAGACGGAGCCTGAGGTTCACACCATGAGGAAAGAGCTTAAGGCAAAAAATTGGAAAGAAATAAATGGCGATCATATGCCAACACTCGACGACCTCGAGAAAGCCTCGAAAAACAGTCCTCCTTGGATAAGGATCAGTTGAGTACTTGCAAAAAAAAAAAAAAACTCAAGGGAAGACCTAGCGGTTGGGTCACATATGTACAAAATGTCCTTTCCCTACTTGCATTATACTTCTAGACCTTATTATGGGGAAATCGTCTTCAGAAAGACATGCGGTTTAGAGTTTCTGCCCAGACTAGGCCAAACAAAAATGACGGTGGATTTGGTATCCCGAGGCGTCGAATTTGTGCAAGGACGCAATTTTTCGTGGGCTTCGGAAAGTATCCATTGACTTGATTATGGCCTACTAGACGTCCTCCTACTCTTTTACGAGAATCCTTTGTCCATACGGAGTTGAAAGGGAAGACTTGTTCCCTTAGGAAGAGGTTGAGATATTCGAATTCCTTAGACCTTGTGGAAAAGGGCTCTTGCCCCTGTAAAATGACCTTTTCCTCGACCTCCATTGCATACTTCTTAAACTTTGGGATACAACGAGTAGTTTAAGGCAATAATGGACAAACCAAGAAGCCCGAGAGGTAAAAAAAGAGCGTCGGCCAGGGACTTGGAATTTTGCAAAAAAGGAGCTGCATCCGCCGTTTTGAAGGGAAGCAGAATGATGCAGAATCAAAATTTACGACCTCGCACTGTGAAGTTCTGACCAGCTTAGGTGGTGAGGAAGATTTTTTGCCACTAGTAGCGGAAATCTAAAAAGTACTGAATCTTATTCAGGCATTAGGAGGTTTGGTAATAAGGAAGAACCTCTTGTCCACGCCACAGATGCTTACCTCCACTGACGTACCTCCGAACATCCTTATCAAGTGATGACTCGATATTTGCACATGTTTTCCCTTTTGTTTCTTGATCGTTTAAGCTTGCATTATGGCTTCTTTGGCCTATTTTACGCTAGGTTGTGTTCCTTTGTCACATTTCAGGTCCTAGCACATAATGTGAAGCGTAGGCGCAAGTTTCAAGTCAATCGGAGATCAATTGGCGACTCGGCGGAAGAAACTCGGGTATGGCTTGAAGAAGAATGGATTTATACCTCAGTTTGTGACCATATAATCATGTAATCTTGTCTTGAGAAGAAAGAGGACGAGACTACGAGCGTCTGGGATCAAACGACACCTGATTTGGAGTCCGAACGAGGGAGAAACGAAGAATTAAAGATAGGGGACCCGGAACAGCAAAATACCCGGCCATGGAAAAAATACCCGACCGGGTATTATTTGGAGCAGACCGGGGAAAATTGGTTTCGAGCTTCTCTGAGAAACAGAAGGGGGCCCTATCGTGACGCTAAAATCCCCGGTAGGGGATTTTTGGCCTTGACCGGGGATTTTCCCCTATCCCCAACGATGTGTTTTAAAGATACCCGGTCTCCACCTAAAATACCCGACCGGGTATTATGACCGGGGATGGCGAACACAGGCTGTTAAAAGCCTGTTTTGTGCATTTTTGCAAGGGAGAGCTGGGTTTTGGATCCCAAACACCCAAGGGACGAACCAAAGAGAGAGAGGGCGATTTGAGGGCATTCTTGGAGTGGAATTGGAGGATTTCTTTGCCTTGGAAGCTCGAGGAACAAGCCCGGACTTGAAGACTGATCATCTGAAGATTCTTACTGCAGTCTCTCTCTTCTCTATGGAGTAAATTCCCTTCACTTAGGTTTTGAGGAACCCTAGCTATGTTTGTTTGATTGGATGATTGTATGAGTACTCTAACTTGATAACCTTGAGTTCATATTCAATCTATGCATGTTTTCATGATTCAATTCTGCTTTAGTCAAGATTATTGATTCTGCTTTGATCCTATGAGAGCGAATACCTGATTAGGTCAATAGAGCACCATAGATTGATAGTATTGGATCGATTGCTTTAGTCGAGGGTTGGTTCTCTGCTTTGTATCGATTGAGAACCTCATTCGATAGAGGAATCTAGTTCAGAACGCCTTGATCGGTTGTTCTAGAGAAGGATACGTCCTTCTAGGCAATTGACTCAAGAGGGCCTTGTTCCTTTAGTCGAGACTCAAGATCTAGTCAAGGATTCTCCGCATTGTGAATAAAAGTGAAACAAGTTAGAAATCATCAATCGTTAATCTGGCTAGTGGCTAGGGGGAATCATACCTAAGTGAGTTCCCAACCTGTATTTAGATTAACTTTAACTGTAGTTTGCTAGAGTAGTTTTAGTTCTTTCATCTTAATATGGTTTGCTAAATAATAAACTGAAGCTGAGTAATAGTAACTCTAGAGACCCGTGGATTCGATATTTATCACTTGAGCCACTATACTGCAGTCCCTTTCATTGGTTACACTTTGCCTTTGTTAGGATTTGTGTCATAGCGAGTCAAGATTTTGGCGCCGTTGCCGGGTACTTTCTAGAGTATTAGGAAAGGCAGAAGTTTGTTACTTTAGCGTTTTTCTTTTCTTTTCCACCCTTGCTTTTCACTTGGGTGTTTTTGTTTTTGTTGGTGCAGATCTGAATCATGGATCCTCATGGCTTCTCCAACAATTGGGGGTATCCACCACCACCCGAGTGGTATTACCCCGAGACTCCCTGGAGCAATCAAGGAGGAGAAGACTATGGATTCGGGTTCCAGTACCAACCCCCTTACTACGGAGAACAACCGGACCCCTGGGCATATCAAGAACAACCTCATTACCAAGAAGAATTTCTCCCACAACCAGAAGGGCCATCAGCGCTGGAGTTACCCATGGCGGCCTTCACGGGCCATTCTGCAGAGCCATGCTACACTCCACAGCCATATCCAAACTATGAATTGAGGCTTCTCATGGAATAGTTTGCTCGAGACAGTGAGAGAACATGCTCCAGGATGGATCATTGTGTCCAGGCCTATCGTGAAACAGAGGAGATCCTCGTGAGCCATAAGAAGAGCGTCGATGATCTTGAGCGATCTTGTGCACAACCTGCTCACGATCACCCTTCTGCTACCATACTAGAAGAGGAGGAGGAAGAAGAAGGCTACAAGGACATTGTGGAGCACACTAAAGTTGTCATGGAGAGCTCCCGTGATGATCATGATTAGGAATGTCCTGTCATAGCCGACCACACCTTCCCACATCCCAGATTGAGCTTTGAAGAGGCGGGCATGAGTGAGGAGATGCAAGAAGATCTCATGAAAGAAATTGCTTGGCAGCTTGCTCTCCAATCCGTGCTAGAAGAAGAAGAGCAAGAAAGGGTGCAGAAAGAAGTTGTGGAGGATGACGAAAGTGAAGCAGAAGGAGTTCTTGATCATTTCCCAAGGGTGATACCACATGAAGAAGAAAGGGAGGTTGAAGAAGCAATTGGCGTCCAGGCTGAGGACGGAGGTAGTAGGTGGAAATTGGGAACATATTCCCGTCTCCCCTAACACACTTTCGCCCTATTCGCACGGGAGACGTTATTTTAAAGCACATTTTTAGCACCTTTTATATGCATGACATCTAATTTTCAAGGGTTGGCTCACGGCAGTGAGGCGGGCTGTGAGGACGACGGGATAACCCTCCAAAGTCATTCTCATGCTTATTATGCGTACACAGAAAGAATTTATGTATGCATTTACGCATAAAATTTGAAAATTTCAAGTAATGCCACACTCCCATAGCAAATTCGAAGTTCATCATTCATTGAATTGCTAGTCTCTACGTTAATACATGATCTAAGGGAGGCTAGTGTAGGGGCTATGGATGATGTTCTTGTTATGAGACTTGTATCCATCTTAAAGAAAAGTGTATGAATTGGTGCTTCCTATCATTCCTTTCAAGTTCACCAACTCCTCCTCAAAGGAAGGAGTCTTATGCTCATAAAGCAAATGGGGTCGATATGCAGCTTCGTACAATCAATATCCTACCACGACAAGTCTACGTCAATAGACAATGCCTCCGCAAATAAAGTGTGAGATAAAAATCCTTGTGTGAGGCGTTCTATTCTTAGGAAAGGGTTTTGTAAGAGATATTAGTTGATTTTTGGTGGGGCAGGCTTGCGAGAGGATGCTAGTTCCTCTATAGTACAAGTCATATCATAGGATTGACAATTTGATGATGTGTTTTCAAGGGCACGGATAAATCTTCCCACACCCTTGACTTCATTGACCCTCTACATGATCAAGGAAAAATAGTAAGCGCTCTTGCTTGATCAGGCTCACTAAGCACCAAAGTACGATGCAAATCATAACCCCCATCTTCGTGTAAAGTAGCACAAAAAGTGCAAACAGGGGTGGCAAGATAGTCTTAAATATGATAAATGTACAAAAATACTTACATGGGAAGGAATGAAATTACCTCGTAATCAATTTACGTAGGCTTTGCCCCAATATTCATAAAATAAGACCTAAGGGCAAAAAAGAGAACTCCATCTTGTGAGAAACAAATCATTTCATCCTTACGAAGTAAATTTTGAGCATCATTGCCAGAAACAAAGATTTCTAAGTGCAAGTTTTGACCTGTAAGCACCTTATGATACACTCGAAAGTCATGTGTCATCATGGAAATCTAGTGAGAAGAAGGATGTTGAGCCTAAGTTTGTTTGGGGACAAGCAAAGTTCAAGTGTGGGGTTATTTGATGACACGCAAAAATATATATTTTATACCTCGTGTTATGACCCAAAGTGTATATATTTTCCATCATTATCGTTATAATACCTTATATTTGTGCTATGATTGGTTCAAGTATGTTCTAGCAAGCCTAGGCTTACTTTTATATGATTGATATGCTTTTGGTACCGTTATGTGTATTTTCAGGTCGAAGTAGACTAGTGGACCACTTGAAAGTTGTAGGAGACATCGAGATCTAATTGCTGGAGGTAGGATTCAAAGAGAGGATGCATGGAAGAAATGGTGCTTGGAGATCTGTTTTGATGAAGAGAAACGACACCATTTTACTAAAGCCAACCCCTTCGTCAGACAATCATCTTGAAGCCCCCTGATTCCCTGGCCATGTATTTGGAGAATCCTAATTAGCTGAATGACGCCTGAGCTGCGGTTTTATCTTCTTAGAAAGCATAGTAAAATGCCTATAAGTAGGTCTCTATAGATATGAAATAGGAGGAGTAGATGATAGATCAAGGAAGGTTCGTTACTCTGCAGACAGAGCAATCCTCCTGACTTAGAACGAGACTAACCTACGAGGGAGAAACAATGCAAAAAAGGACGCTCATTGGCTTGTTTTCTATGTCACTTATGCCATGTTTTGTGGGTGTTCGGATGTCTTCGTTTCAATCGATGAACACCCAGTAACCCCTCCCCATGGTAGGTTAAATTCTTTAGTTGCGTAGGTATGTGAATCTTTGGGTTCTCACCATGTAAAATCAGTGTTTGGTTTAATTAGATCGTGTTTATTTCATATGTGTTATGTTTGATTTCCTCTATTTTGTAATTTTTCGCTTTGAATGAGATCTTTAGTCGACCTTGCACTCCTTCAAGGTATAAAGATCTAAATCCAAGCCGTTTAGGATGAGACTAGAAATAACAGTCTTACTCGATCGAACGATGTGATGCCTCAAGGTAGAAATCTGAATGGTCCTTGTCGCCCATTAGTGTGGTAAATGCTTCATAACAAGGTGGGGTATAATGAAATAAGAAATCGACATGGTTAGGAGACCTAGGGGGAGCTTGCCTAAGCAACGCCTTGCTTCTCTGATATCTCACTTGTCAATTAGCCATAGATTTACTTTTCTGCACCACATTACATTTAGAACTCTTACGTTTTATAAAACCGGAGGCACCTCAACCTCCTATAATGCTCTCCTCTTCAATAGAACCATACAAACCTTGCTTCTAAAGTAAGGGTTCTGTGAGAGTCCCTAGGGAAATACGATCATGCCCTTAGGGCCATTTAAATTTGGTCCACAATACAATCGGCGATTGATAACACCTAAAATATACATGTTTTCACCAACACTTTTATATCCTAAAATGACATAGATTGTGCTAAGTTCATTTGATTTTCCAATTTTATGCTTGATTTTGTGTATAAGTGATGTTTCGGGACATTATATCCAAAAGAAATGAAAGATTGAGGAACACAGAAGAAGAAATCAAAACGATGGTTAGGGTTCAAAATCTGGCATCGATGGAACTCGAGCCTGCGACGTTCCAAGCGAGGGAAAAGAGCCATACACTTTGACTGTGTTCCCTTTGGTATCAACATACGAAACCCGCCGAAGATTATGTCGATTGATAATGAAGTGTCAAACCGCATACTGCAGAGTCAGACTACCAACGACAAACTTAAGAAAATTTTGTCAAAAGGACCAATGTAGCAAAATGGCCATGTCCAAAGACCACGTCAACATCAATGCATTCTACAACACATCCATGTTGAAGACCACGTCATCACCAGTCAAAAGTGTGACCACCAAGGACACAACCATGTTATCGGATTTTTTCACCTTGGTCGTCATCAATCGAAGCCACGTCCAGGCTGTGTTCACTACCAAACCACGGTTCACATTCATTTCGATGTGGAAGACAACATTTACGTCGTCTTCGGTTGATGAACCAAACAAGATACAAGAACAAGCCCGTGTCGACCACATACAACGCGATTCGAGTGCACAACCAAAAGAATTATCCATCAACCGACGAACAGAGTCGGTAACACTGTCATGTTACCCAACCACGTTGAGTAAAGAGAGCGGTTAATCATTCTCTCCAATGTTGTCCAAATGGATTTTTCGACCAACTATGAACACGGTCATTCATTAATCATAACTCGTATTTCATCCATTGTGGTTCTCATGTTTGTGTTCGTATTTGGGATTACCGTGGTATATTGAGTTATTGAGATTACCGAAGTAAACATATATTATGTGGGGTTTTGTTAAATCATTTGTGGGGGTAGATTTGTTAGTTTCTATCGTCTTCGCCCAACGATTATTCCCCCGTCAGAAATTTGCTAGGTGTAATCTATTAATTCAATATATATATATATATATATATATATCGTATTCTCGACCCCTTCGTTCTACGTCGACGTCATCATTATGGTAATGTTCTCAACCTTCATCTTTCTTAATTTCATCATGTTCGGCTAATCTTCTAGTTGTTCTGGATTTGATGTACCCTAATATGTTTTACATGGATTGAGTGGTATCTTTGATATAGACGTGTTGTTCTCATTCTTATGATCTTTTTTCGACTTATCACGTGCAAGTATTATTAGTACGCATCAATAGTATATTTTTTCTTATACATGTAAATGAGACTGCAAGGTATTTTGCATGTTAGATCTCACGTGAAAGGAAGGAATTGATCGGAGCCACCGGCGATGGGTTCGCCTAGTCGTTCTTATAAACCCAAACAATCGTTCAATTTCTTTTTTTTATCTATCTCTCACTAGACCTCAAAGAGAATGGCACTAATGAAGATGTGGCGTGGGTCTACTTCAACGAATTGATCTCTTCCAAAATATCACGATAAGTCATATGATACTCTTCTTCCTCATCTACACTTGGTGATGTGATTCCCCTTGCTAGGAAGGATCTGATTCCCCGACGAGGGATCACAAGGCGGCGACCGAGGAATCAGAGCAGGAGACCACCCCATTCAGGCGGACAATAATCCCCGATCGGGGATCAGTTAGTTTGTGATAGGGGATTGGGGATGACGAGTTAAATTACCTTTTATATTTAGGATTCTTTCCCTTTTTGGGGTTTCGATTATTTTTTTATTTCTTTGTCCTATATAAAGGCTTAAACTCGGGTTTTGTGGCAGACATTAAAGACATTGAAGAATATTTATGTTACTCTTGTTGTATAGACAAACTTGCTGGTGAATAATGCTCTTATCTCAATCAATTATTCCCCTTGGTTGTGGTCAAGCTTCTACCCTATATTGATAGAGCCTTTTCCCATGTGTGAGATTGCACTTCAATTCCACCTTATCCCTAGTTCTAAACTGCATTCTTAGCTGTGCGACTTTGATAACTACGTGCATTGATGCCATGCTTGTATCAAGTGTTAAAAGAGCTCCGATTGAACTCACCTGCAAGGAGAACAAGATCACATGCTTTCTTCAAGCTCATGCAATGGCGGAAGAGTTGGAACAACAAGGTAACTTGTTCTACACCCGTTACTTGATGCAAGAGAAATTGTGTTATGTGGTCATTGATGGAGAGATCAAATCCAATATAATCAGTTCAAGGGCAGTAGCTAAGTTAGTGCTATATACACAATGACATCCTAGCCCCTTCTTTATGCAATTGTCGATGGAAAATTTCTTTGTTTTTGTGACTGAAAAAATGCCTTTGGAGTTCAAATTGGGGGGGGGGGGGGGGGGGGCTAAGGTTTGTTCACTTCTCTTTTGTACAATTTCTTCTATTTGAGATATGATTTTAGGATTTTATTTCTTGTTTATTTCCAGAGAAATCAACCTAAATTGAGAGAGGCTTCCCGATCTGTCTTCCCCTTTCCTCGATCTATTCTCTTGGCTAGAAGGGCGGCAATGGTAAGACGGTTTTACCCTATGGTAAGCCTCTCTTAACATGCATGTTTAGATTTAAAAATTTCCCATAAAAAGTAATTTTAATCTTGATTTTGTTTGGTTTTTGGTTCAAACATAATTCTGATTTTTTCTTGGTTTTGGACTAGGGATTTGGCCGAGAAGAGGAAAGATAAAGAGGGAGCCGTCGGCGATGGGTGGAGGGCGGCCGGCGACCAACACGATGGAGACTAACGACGAACTTTTGCTTATGATGAAACACCCTAACCCGGCCGGGTACTACTTTTACCAAAATGCCCTTGATAAATAAAATACTCAAATCTTAAATTGCAGCGGGAAAATTTTTCATAAATAAAATACTGAAAACAAACACTTGTAGTTCAAAGCAAAGCCCTAACACGTGGGCAAATTAAACTCAAACTTTAAATCTCAATCTGATCTCCAGTCTATGCTCATAATCATAAATGTAAATAACTAATAATCTCTAATGGTGTTGCCACTGAAACCTTTACTAAGCATCCTCTGAGGGACTTCTCGTGGTACTCAAACTTTAAAAATTTTCAGTATTTTATTTAGGACCAAAGACCCTAACATCATCCCATTATCATAGCTACTGGCATCTGGTGATTGTTCCTCTTCCTTTGGAGATTCATATTTCTCCCCTTTGTTTGTCCTAGCTTATTAGATCATCCACTAGTTTCCTAGTAGTAAAATCCTCGTACTACTCTCTCAACTCCTTCAAAATCCTTGAGGTATTCCCTTTCAATTGGCACCTCTTTGCTGGTGTTTGGAGTTGAAGTCCTCGCACATTTGATTCTACCTCCACAGACCTTTGCAACGGAACCTTCCTTCTCTAAGTTGATGATGATGATCTGTTTGCTAACGTCCGAGTAGTTGGTTAACTAATTGAAAAACTACTATCCATCATGTCGATGAGATACTTGGTCTCGAGAGCCTTTGAGATTCTACTTGGGTTGGTCACGTTCCTTTAATCCTTTCTTTCTTACTGGCGATCACCATATGCCTAAATCTCTAATTTGACAAACCACGACATGCTAACTAAATCGCGTCCTAGCCTATTCTTAAACAATCGCGCCCCGGGCTACCATCCCTTCGTGCCGTGCTGTCATAGTTATTCACCTTAATATGATTAGAGTAGACTGGAGATTCTATAAATTCTTAAAAGAAATCCTTGACTTGTTTGGCCAAACTTTGACTTGAAATCTTTAAAACAAAACCTTTAAAAACTGAGACCGACATTCCAATATTTCTTGGGAACCAAGAAACACAGGAAGATCGGCTCTAATACCAAAATGAAACACCCTAACCCAGCCGGTTACTACTTTTACCAAAATGACATTGATAAATAAAATACTCAAATCTTAAATTGCAGCGGGAAAAATTTTCATAAATAAAATACTGAAAACACACACTTGTAGTTCAAAGCAAAGCCCTAACACGTGGGCAAATTAAACTCAAACTTTAAATCTCAATCTGATCTCCAGTCTATACTCATAATCATAAATGTAAATAACTAATAATCTCTAATGATGTTGCCACTGAAACCTTGACTAAGCTCTCCTCTAGCTGGCTTGCCTCGAACAGCTTTCTCGATCTCGCTGCTCACTAACTGCTCCTCTAGCTGCAACTATCGGTCTAGTTCTCGCTTTTCCTTTACTAAATCCTGGTGAGTGAGATGGGGTCAGTCTACGCCCTTACGTTTTAGTAATTCTAACATTGAGTACTTTACTTAAACACTTATTTTTGACTAGTGAAAGTTGTTTGTACTTCCGATCTTAAAATCTTAACTCTTAAACTCTGAGGGAGTTGAAGTTACTCCCCTCTCTTAAAACTCAAATCTCGACTTAAATACTTGACTGACACTGGGATCCCCCACTAGCTAGTCCGGTTGCCAACTGATATGATGAGAAGCCATCAAGGTTTTCCTTAAACTTAAACTTAGTTAGGGAAGTCGTAACGATTCATCCCCCTAACATCTTAAACTTATCGTGGTGGCTCTTCACCACGATTCTCAAGAGCATAATTGCTGCTCATCTTAAAAGTCTCAAGAGCATAACTGCTGCTCTGTCTTAAAGATCTCAAGAGCATAGCTGCTGCTCTATCTGAAAATCTCAAATGGCAACGGACTAACGCTAGTGACTAAAAACACTTAAAATGACTTCACCTTCTTTAAGGTGAGTTTCTTCTTAAAAAAAACTTGTTTCTTAAACTTTAACAATAACTTATACTCAGGAAAATTTCAAAGTAAATAATAAGCATTCACTTCAAGTCATAATTCAACCAAGCACATACCATCAAACATAATAATGCAATCTCTACCAGGAATCAAATATTGCACATACATCACGTAAATCAATACTTAAAAATACTCAAGATAAATACTTGAAAAAAAATCATAACGCGTAGAATTTACCCCATGTACACTCACCTTATTAGCAAATTTGGATTGACCTTAACTAAGTACATGACGTTGCAACTCTTTGTTTTAAGTGCACAGGCTACGAAATCTCCATTCAAAGACCGAGGTCGCAATGTAGATCAGCCTAGGAGCATGTGAATGGCGATTTCAAAGCAAACCCAGAAGCCAGAAACGGGAAAGAATCATTGCAGCACAGCTGCAGCCATGAAAGCTACCTCCAAGCTCTCCCCCTCTCTCTATCACTCGCTTGCTCACTAAATTCCTCCACTTAGTAGTGAGATTTTGGGGAATGGATTTGTGTTACAGAGAGTGTGATAATGACGATGCGAGGAAGAAAAGGGAAGGGCCCGGGCAAGGGAGTGGGCTTTCTTGTCGTGTAGTGCCGAGCAAAGCTCCGCTTGGCATGTCGCAAGATCGTGCCGGGCAAGGCTCTCACGAAGAGACAGAATCATTGCGGTTTCTTCCACCTTCGAATTACCCTTCTTCGAACTAAAGAGATCGTCCTCATCGTCCTCAAGATCCCCAAAGCTTCTCTTATTACCCGAACGCCTTCCGTTGTGGGTTCCACTGAAATCGCTGCCGAAGTCATCGTCATCGTCGAGATGGTTGCGAGAAGCCATTCCGCAATGGGGTAGCTTGATTAATTCTGAACAGGATGCTTATCCCACCCATCCTCAGTTTAGTATGGTTAGGTAATTTTAATCTCAGTACTAGATTGTTTGTGGTGGATTTAAAATAGTACTTTAAATATAAGGATTTTGGGGAAAATGTTTTCGTTTTATAATCATAGCCACTACTCGTGATTTCATAGACTAGGTGACACGCTAGAACACAATGCCAAACTTCGACCAAGTGTAATCGCAGAATGGGACTGCAGTATAGAGGCACAAGTAATAAATATCGAATCCACAGGTCTCTAGAGTTACTATTACTCAACTTCAGTTCATTATCTAGCAAACTAGATAAAGGATTGATTTACTAAACTACTCTACTAATTACAAGTTGGGAACTCACTTAGGTATGATTCCTCCTAGCTCCTCAATTAGGTCCAAGTTGCAATTACCTTTGGTTGATCTACTGTTGATTAAACTGCGGAAGATCATAAATTAGCTTGGAATCTCTTAAGCTAACCAAGCCCTCTTAGATAGAATACCCGACAAGCGACTAGCCTTCACTGGGATAGACTGCTAAGCGATTCACAAAGATCTCCACTACAGGAATGAATTCCAGTACAGAGCAGTGAATTGATTGACTCTCGCACAACCAATTCACCACTATCAATCAAGGAAGCTCTCTTAACCTAATCAGATTCTATCTATCATAGGTTAAAGCAGAAATTAAGAGAATTCGATCAAGATTCAATTTACTGAATAAATCATGCATCAACCTATTATAATCAAACAATATCGCATCCAAAACTTCATACAAGAAAGATCCTAACACATGGAACTAGGGTTCCTCAAAACCTAAGTGAAGGGAAGTTACTCCACAGAGAAGAGAGAGACTGCAGAAATCTGATCTAGATCTTCAATCTCCATCTCCAAACTTGATTCCCGAGCTCCAATGGCAAGAAATCCTCTAAAATAGATCAAAGAATGTTCCCAAGTCGCTCTCTCTCTCTAGGGTTCGTCCCTTGGGTGTTTGGGAACCAAAACCCAGCTCTCCTTTTCCTTTGACTTGAATCTGCCTCCAAAACCCGATTCTGGGCAAAATATGGGCAAAATTCAGCCCATATTTTGCCCAAAACACGCGTTTTGGTTAAGTTTCGCCACATCAAAGGCTCCTCTCGGCACTAAAAATACGGGCATGGGAGGGACAAATACAGTCGTATTTCTCCTGCCCGTATTTCTTCCTCCGCTCCTGTTTAATGCTTCGTTTCTCCCTTGTCCAGACTCTGAATCAGTCGCCGTTTGATCCCAGACGCTCGTAGTCTCGTCCTGTTTATTTTCATGACAAGATTCCATGATTATTTGTCCATAATATGAGGTAGAAGTCCATTCTTCCTCAGGTCAGGCTCGTGTTTCTTCTCCCAAATTGTCAAATGAATTCCGATTGACTTGAAACTTGCGCCTATGCTTCAATTTACATGCTAGGACCTGAAATGTGACAAAAGAACACAACCTAGCGTAAAATTGTCCAATAAAGCAAAAACTCAAGCCAAAATCATCATGAAACGAGGGTGCAAACATGTGCAAATACGACGTTATCAAATTCCCCCACACTTAACCGTTTGCTTGTCCCAAAGCAAACCTGACTCAAACCAATGCAACTCCAGACCTCTATAGCAACATGCACCCTCGATCGTCGGTAGAGGATTCCTAGATCATTTAGCAGCTTACGAGGTCAACCGACGCACAAGTCATCTCCTAGCTTCTTCGATGAGAACGCTAGTCTCGAGTCGGTATCATGAAAAATAGTGATCAGAGGACAAATGAATTGTGGACGACGGGACTCTCAAAAACAAAAGATCATGGACTCACATTTTTAAGGTGCTCTATTTTCTTCTTGAAGATGGTTGGAACCCTTTTTTTTCTTCTTTATTTTTCTTGTTTGTCTTTTTCTCTCTTTCTTCAAGGGTTCCAACCTGTTTTTTTCTTCTTCAGAAAACAGGGCTCCCGCCTAGCAAAGGTTTTGAGGAAGCCCACTTCTTACCGGCCATGCCGGGAGCGGATGTCTCGAGCCTCGTGCGGGGGGAAGAAATGTAAGGGGGTTGGAGGTAGTAGATGAAAATTGGGAACGGATTCCCGTCTCCACTTATACACTTTTGCCCTTTTCACACGGGAGACGTTATTTTAAAGCACATTTTCGAGCACCTTTTACTTCAAAACATGATACAGGAGTCCATGACAGGTAGAGAGTCCACAATACCACACAATTCATGGGTCCTAAGATCACTAGTTAACACAATCAACCAACACAATATGAAGAAGAAATGAGACTTCTTAAATGCATAAACATCCTCCATAGTGCTACACCACCTCCCTAGGTTGCATATTACTATAAAGATTGTCAATTCAAAGCATACTGAGCAGGAAATTGCAGGGATTATGAGCCCGAAAAGCGGGCGAAGGTTTATTATGAGCCCGAAAAGCGGGCGCCGACGATGATAGAGCATTTCCGGCCCATCAGCCTCTGCAATGTGGCCTATAAGATACGTGCTTGGAGCCCTCAAATCAAAATTTGGACAGTGGACTAGGCTCCAAGCACACACATACAGCCAAACATTCACACGCATACATAATCGAACATCAATCACCCCCCTCCCCCCACACTTAAGCACGACATTGTCCTCAATGGAGGAAAGATAAGGAGGGTAGAACGAAGTTACCAGATCAAGTGTGAATGATGGTGAACGGGGCAGGCGGTGCATTCCAGGAGGAGAGAGTAGTCGGAACACAAACACCACATAAAATCTCACAAAGGTTGAGTTATTGACTCTAAATAGGGAAAGAAATGCAAACCGACTGGTTGTGTTGCCTCCCAATAAGCGCTTTTTTCACGTCATGAGCCGGACGATAGCTCCTAAGTTTCGGTCCATGCTAGAACCTCTTTGAAGTTGAGGTTCTCATCTATGAGGTGGAGTCTCAAGTCACGAGCAGGTGGTGTGGCATGTGATGAAGGCTCATGCACTTGATGCAGTTGAAGTCTCCACCCTCGAGACCTCTTCTTCATTTCTTCTCTTGTCTCATTACCCCAAACCAAATATAACCTTATCGACTGACCACCATCGCATCCACCAAGAGGGACCTGACACAACCCGATCCTTTTTGAAAACCAAACCTAAACTCAAACCACAAACCAGTTACTCCGGAGCAACCCAAAACGGTTTACAAGTCAAAACCAAAAGTTAACAACCACAATGCTTAAGATTTTCAAGTGAAATGCCCTAAACAATTGGGCGACCTCAACCTAGAACAACAAAACATAAATACAACCCTTGAGTTTCCCCAGTATACTCATTAAGACATGAAACTAAAGACAAATATAATGGAAGGTCCCATCTTGTTACCCATATCCAGTTGACATCTTCAGGTTAGGCGCGGTTGCTCTCCTCAGGATATCTCCTCTGGATGGATGCGTCCTCTTCCCCTCTATGCACCTGGTGAGTGAGAAGGGGTCAGTCTCGTCGTTACTCCCTAAGGTCTTTTCCCTAGGCCAACTCCTTACTAAACACGTTATTAGGGGAATGCCTTCCTAGCATGAAATCCGTTCTCGCTTTCTGCTCTTAAATAACCATTCTTATCAACTCATTTCAACATTAACTCAAAAAAAATTATCGACTTCTATCCTTATCTCAACACGAAACACTAGGACCAGCGCGTTACGTCTCGCCGTCCGGTGTCCTACCCTAGTATGCCAACCGCGTTACGTCTCGCCGTCCGGTTGCATACCCAAACTCGGCAATGGCACTGCGTTACGTCTCGTCGTCCGGTCCATGCCCGTCAACCACTGCGTTACGTCTCGCCGTCCAGTAGTGACCCAACCGCCCGGGGGTTCCTCATATCATCAACCATACAAACATTACATACATTCATACATAGCACAACGCATGCCTCCACCCTTACAGGCGGTGGGATGCCTCAACACATATCGCGCATTACTCAAAAATTAACTAATTAATAATAACTCAAACGAAAAGCATAAACTAAAAAGACCTCGACGGAGATTTTACCCCCTTTACACTCACCTCGAAAAGATGACTCCTCAATTCCTTACTCAAAGAAACCCCTCCTTAGCCGGATTATCTTGGGGAAACCTATTCATAAGAATCCATTCTCTTAGACGACCTTTCTTGATTTGAAACCCCTTTTGAAACCCTAGAACATCCTCTCCTCAAACTCAAGTCCTTGAGCCTCATTCCAAGGGTCCTTTAACCCCACCCAAATTTTCTAGAATTAATCCCTTCAAAAACGACCGTTCTTCTTAATTATTTTAGTCTTGGACGAATTTTCCACCTAAAAAGAAACTTCTTAAAAATTCGGATAATAATTTTCCTATGTCAATCATGAGCCCCTATACTCTGAAAAATAATCAAACCCTTAAAAGCCCCTTGGAAAATTTTTATTTAATTAAAACAAATATTAGAACAATTTTTAAAAATAGAAATATATCTCCAAAAATCCCCAAATTAAATTAAAATCATCTCCTAGACGTCGTTCAATTTATAAAATTGTTAAATTTAGAAAACAAACCTTCAGAGAGGCTCTAAACAATTTAATACATCTAAAAATACGTTTCTGGAAATTCCCAGCAGCTTTAGTGACCTATCAAAATATGTCACTAAAAGCCTGAACGTCTGTTGCTAAAAATCCAGAATTCTACCCTCACGAAAAATCACCAAATCAATCGACCTAACTCAAAGGGATCGAGTTCCCTTACCTCTAGAACGTGCCTAGGCCTAGGTTGGATGACCCGGGACGTTGATCTCCTCGTTTATCGAACCCTCAACGTCACCGCTAATAAAAATCCGAGCTTCGAATTATTCTAACGATGAATCGAGTTTAGAAACCACGAAAGGGTTTGTGATCCTTACCTAGAACACGAAAAGGATGAGATCGGAATCGGAGTTGGGATCGGGAATAGGGGAGGCGGCGGCCTTTCCTCTTTTTTTTTTTTTTCCTTCTTCTTCTTTCCTCTCTGCCCGCGGGGGCTGGGAAATACAGGGGGATGGGGTTTTATTTTTTTGTTGCTTTGCTGGGGAGAATTATAAAGGGGAAGGGTTTGGGGTCGCTCGGCCCCGACCCAAGGA